TTTTAGGGTTCAATTGGAGAAGATTTTTGTTTATCTACATGTTGTCCATTATGTGTTGCATTACAATTAGCCAATGAATCTCGTCAATATGGTCATCGTATTTTTACTTAAAATTTTTCATATTTTGTGTGTCTCTTTCTTTCTTATTGCTTGGTGAATAGAAAAAAGAAAAATCAACCAACAACAACATGAAAGAAAAAAAAACCCTTTTAACGAAAGACAAAAAAAACACAAAGGAAAAGAATATGAGGAGAGAGAGAGAGAGAAGATCGGACACAAACAAAGACAAAAAAAAAAGAAACGTACTGTTGTAGGAAATAATGTTTTATTTTAAGTTGTTGCAAACAGAAAACTTCGATAGATCAGGCTTAAAAAGTTTTATTCAGTTTTTTATCCTACTTGTGTGCTTAATTTTTTAAATGTACACCGAGAACAAAAAAAGAAATGTGTGTTTAGAGGATAGAGAGTACTGTTTTGCACACATCAAAATCATACTTTAAACAAAAGAAATAACGGTCACAACTGATGAATGATATAGGATAAACAAGACATAGATCATATGAATACTTTTCAATTTGTTGTTGTTGTTGTTGTTGTTTTATATAGATAAACAAAGAAATATAGGGAGAGAAAGTCAGTCACAGATTTTTTGACGTTCAATTCGGAAGAAAAGAGACATGATAATCCATGATGAATCGCATGCGTTGTATACAGATATAATATATGTTTTGTTTTATGTAATAGAAAATAAATAAAGAGAATGAGGAAAAGAGAAAAACCGAAAAAAAACACACACACATATATATTGTCTAATAACAAAAAAGAAAGAAAGAATAACAATAACAAATCATCAAAAAAGAAATTCTTTTGATGATATTAATTTAATTTCCTTCTTCTTCTTCGCCTTCTTCGACTTCTGTTTCAGCTTGTTGTAACCAAGTAAAAAAGTCTTTCGTAGACATTTCAACAACAGCATGTCCTAAAACATGTATATATATATTTTACTAGATTTAGAATTATTATTCGATTTCTAACCTTCTGTCTCAGATTGATCTGGATGTTTCAACCATTCAAAAAATGCATCTTCACTTACACATTCTTCATCATAAAATATATCAAATAGTAGTCGAGCCATTTCTATAATAATAAAAAAATAAAAATTTAATCGTCTATCAATACATGATTCCAATGACGTAAGCAGAAGTAGACCATTTCGTAAATGGGGAGGGGCTGTGGCACCGTCTGGTTCCACGCCTCCATATTTTTCTTTTAATAGGAAGTGATACAAAACAAGTAAATTATTTACAATATCATTATGTGTTTTTTTTTCGAATTGTTTGTATTTATAAAAATTCCATTACAGAACTATATTTTCTATTCTAAGACTGTGAGAAAAAAAAGGATGTTAGCACATCTGGATAGATTAATTTTTACATTGTAATCATCAAAGATATTCATCACAAATAAAAAACATCTGTTTCCATATTTTGATCGATTATGACGAAAGTTGATATTGCTAAAATATTCCTATTGGTTATTATTATTATTCTTTCGATATTTATACAATTCATTATGGTTGATTAGAAAAGATGATTATTTCATAATTAGGCAAATAAAAACATTAAACCTAATATGTAATATTAATTAACACAGACACACATACTTGGTGGATGTTCAAGTTTATTAACAAAATTTTGAATAGCATAAACAGCTTGAATTTCAGCTTCTGGTTTATGTTCAATAATTGCATTGAGTATAGTCATTCGTTTTTTTTGCAATATCTTCTTGAATTTTCTTTTGTGGATCACGATTAATTAAACATGCTTCCAAATATGATAAAACAATATTTCGAATATAAAATTTTTCATTTGGATCCATATGCTATTTTGAGAAAAATGAATAAAAATTTTTTTGAAAAAAAAACAAATTTTGTTATTTTCTAACCTCACGAATATATGCAATAATTTCTGGATCAGTTACTGTTGTACCTTGATCATTAACAGATTTAAATAATTTAACAAGTTGAGAATCAGCACGTGGAGAAACATTTTCTTTTGTTTGAGGTGTTGAAGGTTCACTTTCAGGTGTATCGGATAACCAATCATATTCTTTTGTAAACGAAGAATCAATAAGATCAGATTTAAGTACATCATTAATAGAAAAACCGGATGTTTGCCAAAATTTTTGTATACGTGATTGAGACTAAAAATTTTATATAAATAGATAAAAACAATTCAGTGTTTCAAGCATTAAAAGAACTCAACGGTTGTTTTTAAATACTTCTATTACTACACAAGTAGATGGAAATTATCTTGAGGGTAAATATTATTTCAATAACTTAAATCATGTCTTATAAAATATTAGAAATAAATTTTACCGAAAATTCAGTTGCATATCGAATAATATATTGAAATAATTGTTTCGATTTATCATCTGGAGCAGATTGTAAAATTTGTTTTATTAGTGACATATTCGATGTTGGAGCACCAATAAATGCACCTTAAAATTTTAAGAAAAAACAATTAAGTAAACGAGAAACAAAAATATCAATTGACATACCAATTATTTCACCAATATATTGCCAAATCAAAGGAATGTCAACTGCATAATCAGGTGCAGCTTCAACAGTCATTTTAAAACTAAAAAAGCAAAAATTTCGATTTTCTCTTTTTTGTTCTGTTTCAATAAAACTTACCCGGAAGTAAAAGCGTCAGTAGAGATAATTTCATCATTAAGTGCAGCATCAAGTAAATGTCCAACAGCTTTTCGAGCACGTGGTTTAGCTTCGAAAACATTAGAAAATAATTCTCGAACAATAATTGCTTGTTGATCAAGACTTGGAGTACGGAAAAGAGATAAATCTTCTAATGCTTCCTAAAATGAAATTTTCTTGATTAAATAAAATTCTTTTTTTCTATTTATTAATAAATTACTTTAACAGGTCGATCAGTTGATTCAGAATAATTTTCAGTATATTCTTCAATTAATGCATGTACACGAGCTTGTGTTTTTTCTTCATCGAATGATGTATTTGATGGATCGGGATTAATTACAGTTGAGGATTCATTTATTGATGTTTTACTTAATTGTGTTGTTAAACCAACATTTGATGCTCGTTCACTAACACTTGATTCACGTGATGCATTACGTGATTGTTCACGACTAACATTACGTGAACCTTCACGTGAATTTGCCATAGATGAATTACCGACAGTATTTAATGGACTACTTATTCCACTACTAGTAGTTGTTTTTTCGTAATGATTGTAAAGCATTTTCACGATCGCGATGACTATTTTCACGTGCTAATTCCTAAAACATACGAAATAGAATAATGAAAATATTTGTAAAGAAAAAAGAATATTTTTCTTACACGTGATGATTGACGTTGAAGAGGATAAGATGGACCACCTTGAGATGAACCTATTTTACCTTTTATTTGTTGAACTGGACCAGCAGGTGGTTTACCAGCACTAAAAAACAAGGATTGAAATAATTTCATGAAATTCATCTAACATTTTTTCTCAAAATAGAGTAGAAATCCGTCAAATCGAACTTTCGTCATTTCGTTTCTATGGTGAACAGAAATTGACCTTGTTACTCTCGACATATGTCTTATGTTGTAAATATTATTTAATTTACTTACCGTCCAGCAAATGAACGATCTTCTTCAGGTTTCTTTTCAATTCCAGATCCTTTTGCCCATGTACGTTGTGGTGCTAAATTAATAGCCTAGAAAAAAATAAAACAATTTATTTTTATTCGATATTATTATATCTAGGAAATTACTAATTGTCCTCGACTTTGTTTATCAGTTGATTGTAATTGTCTTAGGGAATTAACATTAAAACGATTATCCACTCTATCATCATCATTTCTACTAGTTTGTTGTTTAATTCCACTACCACGACTACCACGTCCATCGTTATACTGTTGTTGATTACCACCACTATATGCACTACCAATAGCAGTACCACGATTTTGGTCACGTCGTTGTTGTCGATCACGTTCTTGATCACGTTCTTGTTGTTCACGTTTAATACGTTCTTGTTCATGAATTTCATCAATTGTCATGGGTTTTGCTTCAGCACGACGAGGAACCCATGATCCCTTTAATAATAATAATAATAATAAGAAGAAGAATTGAATATAAAAATAAATTTTATTTCTCTTACTTGTCTTAATTCAAGAAGATCTTGAATCATAAAACGAATACGTGCAGATGCTTTTTGTTCTTTATTGTGGTCTTTAGTAATACCCTCTAATTCACGATAATGTTTTTCTAAATTTGTTTTATTTGCAGTCTAAAAATCAAAAATTTATTTAGAAAAAGATCTATTTCATTTTTTTCTTCAAATAATCTTACTTTTTCACTTGCTTTAGCTTCAAGTTCTTTACCAATAGTACGTAGAAGACGGCATAAACATTCAAGACTTTCTTCATCAGTTTTATCACGTAGTAAATATTCAATACAATCATACATAATAGTATCAGTTAACATTTGTAATTTAAATAATTCACCAATAAAACTAAAAAGAATTGAAATTATTTTCAAACAAATTATTAATATTCTAGACTTTGAACAGGTAAAATAAAAGTTAATTTTGATAACATATTACGAAAAGGAAAAAAAAGATTCTAGGCCAACCACTGTGTCTAAGTAGTTAGATTGTGGAGCATACTTCCAGTCTAGACGTTGTCAGACACGAAATGTACTAACAATTGTTTACTATACATACTATAATGACTATGTTATAACATACATCATTCTTCATATGTAACATAGTTCTGGATTGATTTTGACAATAGAAATGGTTAGAAAGTGCTTTCATCTAACATATCAGAGGCAAAATCCTAAAAGTACAGACGAAATTTTGGAAAGAACTTATCTCCATCAATGAATCTGATTGTTAGAGCTCATTGAATTAATATTATCGATTTCTATCGCGTATCTACGAAAATTTCAAATAAATAACTACAAGAGATGTTAAACTACTGAAATTGTATTATACATTAATTTAATTTCATTATAAATCGATTTCTACTCAAAAATACTGAGAAAAATAATGATTGTCTAATCTACAATAAAATATTCTCATACAAATCAAAATAACTCTTAAAATCAGTCTCTAAATCTCAATACAAATGCACTTATCTTTCTCAAGGTAATTACTTGTCAAAAACATGTCAGTCATAAATCTTAGATTATATACAGGCTAAAAACGTTTGCATCGTTTTTCATATATTTGAAAATAATACAGTTCGTGTCTATTAATTTAATAATTATATACTTACAAAATATTTCCTAATTTCCTTCGTTTTGCTTTAACAAGATCTTCTTCTAATTTTTCAGCTTCTTCTTTACGTTTCTTTTCATCCGTAATAGCTGTGACTTCACATTTTCTTTTATCATATTCGATTTCTTGTCTATAATCATTTTCGAATTCTTTTTGACAACGTGTTAATAATATTTGACGAAAATAATGTGTTACTGTTTTACCATCTTCTGACGGCACAGTCACTTGTTTCTTCAAGTAGAAAAAGAAATGAAATCATTAAAATTGAAAACAAAACAAAAAGTATGAAGTACAAACCTTTTGAAATTGTTTACATAATCTAGCATATAGAAAACTAAATGCTGGTTCATCAACAGCCTAAAAGAAATATAATAAAATCAGACTTGTGCAATTGTAATCTCGAAATTTAAAATATGCAAAAAATTCTCAATTATATCTTTAGTACAGTTTATCTATATAGTAGAAAAATAAAATTATATTTACTTTTGAAAAAAATATAGTAATCATTCCTTCTAATCGTTCATAACGATCAATTTCTAATAATTCAAGTTGTTTTTGTAATTTATCATATGTTTGTGGTGTAACTTTATTTAATATTGCTTTAACATCACGTAAAACTTTAATATTAGCATCGACTTTATTTTGATCAAGTGGTTTATAAGGATTTGCCACACGATTCTCAAAATCAGGTTCATTTGGTATATAAATAACTGGTTTACGTCTTGAATCACTTGCACTGTTGCCAGCATTATTTGAATAACGTGTTAAAGATGGATGATTACTTGATGACATTTGTCGATGAAATTGTGGATTGATATTACGTCCTTGACTATTTGTACCTGTATATGGATGTGAAAGACGATTAGTAAGTCCTTTGAGAACAATATCAAGATCTGGAAGTGAAGGAACTGGAAATGCTCCTGAACTATCACGAATACGTAGAAGTTCATGACGATCATAACGTAAACGTTGATTTATTGCTGCTTGAGATTTATCATCACTTGTTAATTGTGTTGGTGTTTGTGGAGGTGTAACACATTCTAATGATTCTGTTGTTGATAAAAGAGGTGTTGGATGAGAATCTGTCTGATTTGATGTAATTTCTTCATCAAGTTTAATTGCTGTTTCATCAGACTAATATGAAAAAAAACAAAATTTTAAGTTTATATATTTGATTTTTTTATTGACTACCTGACGACTTCGAAAATTAATGTAATTTTTTTGTAGTTTATCCTTTGCTACCATGTTTTTCAAATGATTTATTTAATGTACATCTCTTTTTATAAAGACAATGTGCACTTAAAATATATACGTCCTTTATATCTTCCTATTGTTGTACACAAGTGTGTTATTATTTTTTTTTCTTCTCGTTCTTACACACACACACACAAAAAATAGATAGACATGATCATGCGTTGAATCGATGGGTAAGGAGACATACCACTGATGGGGGGACAGAAGAAAAGAAAGGAAAAAAAAGAAAAGAATAGAAGTGTTTATGAGTCATAATATCGAAAATAGATGTTAGAGATAGGACAGGAAAAAACTAGAACGACAAGAATCTATTATTTTCAGTCATGGTAACTGTAAACAACAGATAGAAATTAGTTTTTTTTTCGTTCTATTTTCTAAGCAAAACAACTTGAATATGCTAGAATTCTTACATATGATTGTGCAAGAGTACAAAAAGAAAAAAGAAGAAAATCTTGTTTATTTACCGTTGATTTTGAATCATTATTGGTTTTTTCATTTGATTCAATTGATGATGATGATTCAGTTTCTTGCTGTCTTTGAGAATCACTTCGATCACGTTTATCTTTGGTTTCATCTTGATTTGTTTTATTATTAGTACTTTTTGGTAAATCATCGGTTATAGTTCGTGTACGAATACCAGGATAACCTGGTTGTGGTTGTTCAGATGATTTACTTGACGTAGATTCTTTACTTCCTGTTGCTGATATACCACTTGATGGAACTGGTGTCGGAGATTTTGGTCGAGATACTGAACCTGAACGAGATGAAGACGCTGATGATGTTGATTGTGGTACAATGTTTTCTGATTGTTTAGTAGAAGTTTGTTTCGTTGATGAATCTTCATTTGATCCAGTAGATGCAACTTGTTGAGTTGTATTCTAGAAGACAAAAATTCGTAAATCATTTTTGTTTCACTAAACTTTCAATTAATGACAATAGAATCAATTTTTCTATACCTTATCTACTGAAGTACTTGGATTATCAATTAATAATTGTGCAATTTTATGTCGAAAATCAGTTTGTATTTGAGTTTTATTTGTATCATTTACTAATTTGACATTTGATGCTGCTGGTGAATCAGTAGTCGATTCATTTTGACGATTTTCATTAGTTGTACCATGTGGTACGGATGATGCTGGATTTGTAGCTGGCGTAGTTGTTGAAATATCTACAGCTGTATGTGATACAGGATCAACAATTGCTAATGGTTTTCTTTGACGTTTTTCTGG